CAAATTATAATTTTGGCAACAAATTTTTTCTTTCAAGTTGATATAATATTAAGCAAAATAGAAAAAAAAAATATGTGAACGATAATCAAAATGAAATGAGCTCCCACTTGCCCCCCTTTCCCCCCTTTTTCATTTTTTTTTTTTTTTTTAAACGTTTAGATCGTAAATAATTTTTACGCATGCATATAATAATAATAATAATATTATTATTATATGTGATGATGATGATATTTCGTCAAATGAAATTCTTGGCCATTTTTTTATTTTATTTCTTTATTTTATTATTAATATCTTTTCGCTTATTGAAAACCGTAAATGCCGAGTTCGTTTTATTTTATTTTATTTTTTACTTCTCCCCCCCTTTCTTCCCCTTCCCCCCGTATTAATATAAACGTGTGCGTGCACGTGTATATTAATCCACACATACATGTATTAATTTTTTTATTTTTATTTTTTCAGTGATATGAAGGCTGGAATGGAATATTTGGCGGCTTCTTTATTCCTTCTTCTAAGGTTACTAACGTTAATATCGGCCCTCGCAAGAAATCTAGGTAAGTCTGTTATAAACTCATGAAAAGGTTTTTTAGAATGCTAAGCGGAACGGGGGGTAGTATCGTGGAAAATTTGGGTTACGAAAAAGTAAAAAAAAAGTGGAATTTCAAAAAATAATAATAATAATAATAATAGTAGTAGTAGGTAAGGATTAATTTGACCTTTACAAAAGTTGAAACGATCCAAAAGTTATTATTATTATTATTTTTTACTACTTTTTTGTTTCCCCCTCTTCCTCCCCCCCCTTATCTTATTAAGAAGAGATAAAAATTATATTAAAAAAAAAACCAATTTTGAATTTTGGTAGTACCCGATGGTCATTAATTAAGGGATTGTGTGTCGCTTTTCCAAAATGAAACAATTAACTTGTTTTTCTGGAGCGAGACAGAGAAAGAGAGAAAGGAGAGGGAGGGAGAGAGAGACAGAGAGAGAGCTACGTGTGCGGTGGAACCACAAAAAAATTATTTTTTGTTTTATTCGTTTTACCGAGATGACAATTTTGGTAATAATAATAATAATTTTATTACCGATTCATTTTACCATAGGATATTTATTCGGGTGAAAACGATTGATTATAGTTTTTCACAGGAGGGGGTGGGGTGAGGATGAGGGGAAATTTTTTTTTTTAAATTTTCCAGAATTTTCGATTCGCTTTATTGTTTTTTTTTTGGTTTGGTTAATTTGTCGGTTTTAAATATATTCACAACAGGTATTTATTTATAGGATTCTTCTTTGTTGTTTTTATTGATAATCGGACAATTATTGACAGGTAACATGTCACGTGGGTGACGTTTACAATCTGTCATCGTAAAGTAAGTTTTTTGATCAGTTGTAAAAATGTCAATCGTTTGTTTGTTTGTTTGTTTGTTCGATTGGATTTTTTCAGTTTTAATCATCCACCACTTATTATTAACTCACGGAAATTATTGGGTAATTATTTTTAGTTAGACGGAGCGTTAATCGAGTCGTTAATAAACGAATAACGAACGCTCTTTCTGGTAATTTGTCATAAAACTTTTTTGTTCTTTTTTTCCTTTTTATTATTATTATTATTATTATTATTATTATTATTATTATTATTATTTTTAGATTTTTTTTCCCTCCTTTCGTTTCGTTTCGTTTTGTTTTGTTTTGTTCCATTTATTTATTTTTAACATTCTAATGAGTTTGTAGCTATAAAAAATTTTTTTTTTAAAAATTAAATGAGTTACTTTGTATGTATCGCTTGTTAAAGTCCATTAAAAAAAGAGCTTTTTTGTTTTTGACCTTTTTTTTTTTTTTTAAATTAATTTTATTCCTTTGCGTTTTTTTTAAAATATATATTCTCATCGAGCTTTGTTAAAAAAAAAAAAAACGCGGGAATATTTTGAATTTTTAAATTTAAAAAAAAAAAAAACAAAACTTGTTGTTTCCTTTTTATTATTTTACAATATTATTTTTTCAAAAAAATTTTTTTCTGTTTTTACGAATGAATGTACATTTTACCGTTAAATTAGGTTTTCGTGTGACGATTGTTCCAACTCCCCCCCTTTCCCCCTCCCCGAAAAATTGTCGAACGAATTTTTTTTATTATTCGATGTGTGAACGTAATTTAAAAAAAAAGGGGCTAAGTTTTTCTAAAACTGGGAATTATCGATGTTACGTCGAGCAAAAAAAAAAAAAAAGTTTGTTACAAGAAAAAGGTATTTAAAAGGAAGTCATTTTTTCAAAAAAAACACCCGGCAATAAAAATAATAAAAGAAGAAGAAGAAGGAGAAGAAGGAGAAGGAGAAGAAGAAGGGAAAAAAATCGTACAAAGGAAATGTCGGTCGACGGCGCGAAGAATTATTATTGAACGAGTGTTGTAAGTGTAGTAATACAGTCGTTTGGGCCGATTCTTTTTTTAAATAATTACCTTCAGTTTGAAAAAAAAAAAAATTTTTTTTAAAATAATAATAATAATAATTAATGGTTTGTCGCTGTTGAACCAAAAAAAAAAAAAAAAAAAAAAAAAAAAAAAAAAAAAAAGTTTCAATTAATGTAGAACAAAAATTTTTAATAGCCGTAATTAAAAACAAAAAGAATTATTATTATCATTATATTTTTTTTTCTTAAATGAATGATTGGTGGTGGTGGTGGTGGCGGTGGTGAAGGTGACCGCCGTTGGTTCTTTTTTTTTTTTTTTGGGGAGTCGTTTGAAAAGCGTTGAGAATTAATTCTCAACGATCCTGTTGAAAGTGTGTAAAATTTTCCTACCTAAAAAAAGTTTAAAGTTTTCCTCACGGGGGGAGGGAGGGGGGAACTGCTTTGGATTCGAATTATTATCGGTCGTCTCGTATGATTTTTTTTTTTGGGGGGGAAGAGAGGGGGAATACGAAAACCCATGAAAATTATTTCGAGGTCGAAAAGAGTAAATTATAAGTAGTGGATGTGATGTTATAAAAAAGGATAGGATAAGAAGGAATGGTGGATGAATGAATTATGGATGAGGAAGAAAGTTTTTTTTATAAGGAGCGTCGGCTCCGCACGAAAGTAACTAACACCTGAGCCTCCGCCCCCGCTCCCGCCTTCCTCCCTTCCCCATGCCCGGAAACTAAGAAGAGGGTAAATGCCGGAAAGCATGCCTTAACCGTCTAAGAAAGAAAGGAAAAAAATAATAATAATAAATGGAATTAAGGGTTTATCCATAAATGATGACAAAAAAAATTTTTTTTTTTTTACGATGATGATTATTTTCTTTACGAACGTTTAAAAAAGGAGGAAGAAGGAAAATGGCAACAGGGAAAAGGAAAAAAAAAGGATTAAGGAGAGGGAAAAGAGAAAAAAAGAGTGAAAAATTTTGATTGATAAAATTGAGTTATGATTGTTAATTTTTTTCTTTTACTCTCTCTTTCTCTCTCTCTCGGTGGAAAAATAAAATTGAAAGTCGAAATAATAATAATAATAATGAAAAAAGTCACTGGTCAAACTGGAAAATTTAAAAGAAAAAAAAATGACAATGTGATGGCGATGTTTTTAACGATAAAAGGGATATAAATAATGGTTAAAAGGGATAAAAAAAAACCAGCAGGGAACTTTTGCACGATGAGTAAGAGAGAGAGAGAGAGAGAGAGAGAGAAACTCCCTACAGTAAACTACTCGGAAGATGATCCTTTTCTAGAATATAAGAGGAAGAGAGAGAGAGAGAGAGAAAAGGTTTTCCTGTAAGCGACTCCGGGCAAAAAAAAAAAAAAAAAATTATTTTGATAGAAGTAATGAATTTGAAAATAACTCTGGGTGTGTGGGTGTCTTTTGGCGTTGGCGTGTAAACCCATCGGCAAAAACATAAATCGTGATATGCGAAAAGGGTGGAAGTGAATACATCTTGGAACACAGTAAAAAAAAACCCCATGGGACTTTTCCGTCGATGCCTTCAAATAAAAAAAAAAAAAAAAAACGGAAAATTTATCAAAAAAAAGTCAGCCGAAGAACATTATCTCACATAACTTTTTAAATCCAAAGGAAATAGTATGTGTGCGGTCAGTATCGGCGTCGGCGGCGTCGGCTGCTTTGTTTCAAAGACCAGTCATACGGGAAGTTGACCATGGAATGCGATTATACAGCTTGCAAAAAAAAAAAAAACTTTGATTTTCCAAGTTTATTTACTCTCCACGCTTCACGCTTCTTTCTTCTTATAATATATTAATTTCTCATAAATTCTTTAAAAAATTTACCTTATTGTTATTTGAAATTAAAAAAAAATAATAATTGGAAAAGTTTTTTTTTTAGAAATTTCGAATTAAAAATTTATCATTATTATTACGACTGTCATTAATTTGGCATTATGGAAAAGGCCGCGAAAAATGAGGTTAAATTTTTTTTTAAATAGATAGAGATAGAATTTATATCCGAGTGTATAACGCACGAAATTATTATTATTATTATTTCGTAGGTGTGTGTGTTTCCTTGTGATTTAAAAACGTCCTTAAAACAGGTATTTACTAATTATTGTCATGAGTAAAAGAATACTAGGTATTTGTTCTTGTTAAATTAATTGGAATAATGCAATATAATGTGTAATATCAGCAGGAAAGTATTAAATAAATGTCGGGGCAGAACGAGAAAGGTGGATCCTTCGTTACAACAACAAACGACAACAACCAACAACATTTCCAAAGTGAGGAAAAAAATGAAATGATGGATTTTTTTTTTTTTAAATAATTAGATTTTGATTAAATTAGAGTGCGATGACGACGACGACGACGACGACTAAGATGATGACGATGGCGTCGATGACGAAGATTGTAAATTTTCTTAAGGGCTTTTTTTTTTTTTTTAATTTTTTTAAAATTTTATTCTTTTTTATTGAAAATTTAATTTCGAAGTCGTTAAGTTTCTCTCTCTCTCTCTCTCTCTCTCTCTCTCTCTCTCTCTCTCTCTCTCTCTCTCTCTCTCTCTCTCTTTCTCAAGTTGAAGGAAATAAAAAAAAAATGGGTGTAAGATGATGATGATGATGATATTTTGGTTTTTGGGATAAGAATAAAGTGAAATATATAAAAAGCTTTGATCGCACTCTCTCTCTCTCTCTCTCTCTCTCTCTCTCTCTCTCTCTCTCTGGTTGTTTTTTTTTTTAATTTGAATTCTACGGTCGTGTGAAATTAAAAGGAAAAAAATCTTTTTTTTATTTAATTAGAAAATTGAAAGAAAGCTTTTTGAAAGAAAAAATGAGAATAACCGTGAATGATTGACTGGCATTAAAAGCTAAAACGAGGAGGAGAAGAAGAAGAAATAAAATTAACGCAAGGTGAAAAAATATTTTTTTTTTACAGGACCCTGGGATCATTCACTGGGATCAACTCAAATAAAATTATTATTATTATTATTATCGTTTAATGACGAGGAAATTTTGATTTCACGAGTTTCGTTTTTAAAAAAAGAATTTTTTTTCTATTTCAGATCCGCCCCGGTATGATACGGCATACGCGTGCGAGGGCAAAGTATTGAAAATAGAATGCCGTGAGGGGGAGTTGATACAATTAATAAGAGCAAACTATGGACGTTTTTCCATAACGATTTGCAACGATCATGGAAATACTGAATGGAGCGTCAATTGTATGTCACCAAAAAGTTTTAGAGTTCTTCATTCGAAGTAAGTTAAGAAAAAAAAAAAAAAAAATATTTTGTACGTATGTGCGTGTGTGCGTGCGTGCGTGAGTGCGTATAAAAAGAATAAGTTTATAAGGAATCAATCCCATGAGGTGAGGGATCGTTTTAAATTCTCCAGAGTATTCGGTCTTGCGCGAAAAAGGGAATAAAAAAAAGGGGGAAAGGGGGAGAGGGAAAGGAAGAGGAAGAAGAAGAAGAAGAGAACAACAATTTTATTAAAGTTAACTCGAGTTAGCTATTGTTTTTTTCTTTTTCTTCCTCGCACACTCAAGTGTTTGCCTTTCCCTGACCCCTAGATAGATTTTCGACCCATTGTTTTGTTGCACACATCTATTCATTTCCCAATTATTTTACTTCTTTTTCTCTCTTTTCCTCTCTTTTTCTCTCTCTCTCTTTTTCCACCCTTAATATTAACGGTCAGATTTTTTGTCAACCATAAAATTAGTATGAAATTTGAGAAAATCCATTAGGAAAAAATTTTTTTTTCCTCGTTTTAATTTTTTGTTTTGTTGTTTTGTTTTTTTTTTTTATTTTCCTTTTGTTTGTTTGTTTTGCATATTCTCGAAAAGTTACGAGTGATTTTAATCAGAAAAAAAAGATGGAAAGAAAAGAAAGAAAGAAAGAAATAAAAACAAAACAAAAAAGATTTCTTTTGCAACACTTTTTATATATTTTATTTTATTTCTTTGTTTTTTTTTTGTTTTTTTTTTGAAAAGAAAAATTAAATTATAAACTTTTCTTTTTCTCTTTCTTCTTCTCCTTCTCCTTCTCTTTCTCTTCTTTTTTTTCTCGAAATGGTTTTAATGGTTCTTATAAGACGAGTCGAAGAACCTAAAATTAAGTAAACCTACAACGAGGAGGGTCATTAAACTTGAAATATAACCAATTCGGAGAATTTTAAAATACCAATTTTTGTGTTGTGTTGCTGCCACCACAATTTCTTTCGTTGTTTCCTCCCTCCCCTCCCCTCCTCTCCTCATCTCCCTTCTTATTATTTTCGCGTGGTGCAAAGAGCAAATCCATGTTTTATCTCCTCTCTCTCTCTTTCTCTCTCTCTCTCTCTCTCTCTCTCTCTCTCTCTCTCTCTCTCTCTCTCTCTCTCTCTCTCTCTCTCTCTCTCTCTCTCTCTCTAATGTCGTCCGTCGATTTGTTCGATTGGGCAAACTTCATTGGGTCTCAAACACCGATCTAATTTTGGATTTTTAATTTAATAATATGTTAAAAATATTGTTTTTTTTTTTTTTTTTTTGGAAAACCATTTCCAACCGTTGCCCCCCCCGCCGCTCCACCGTACCACTTCCTCCTCCTCTTCCTCCTTCTACTACCTTCTCTTCTTTATATTGTTGAATTAAGGTTAATCCACTTGGGCGACATGTTTAACCGATTTTGACAGTCCTCTCGTATTTTATAAATTAATCTGGTTTTACGATTGAATGAAATTAATTTAACCCGTTTGTTGTTGTTGTTGTTGTTGTTACTCTAGTCAAAATCTTCTTCTTTCTTTTTTCCTCCTTATATTTGATATGAGTCATAAATAGTAAAATAATGTAGGTTTTCTTTTGATATGTGAAATTATTTGGGTGATATATGATTGTAAAATAGAGAATCAATGAGTGAAATAAAAATAAAAATGTCATCATGTTCCCCGACGGTTTGAACAACGAGAAATGATGCGTTCGTGCCCGTGAAAGAATTTTTTTTTCCAGAACCTGGAACGAGAGAGAGAGAGCAAAAGAGAGAAAGAGAGAGAGAGAGAGAGAGTCCGTCGGTCGTGTGTTCTTATCTACTCTTTTGTTTTAAATCTTGCGGCAAGAAATGAAAAATTCGTTCTAAAATATGAAGAAATAGTGATAATAATATTTATTCAAAGAAAGAAATACGCACACCTTTTTTTTTTTTTTTTTTGTTAGATACACATAGAGGGATAAGATTGTGTATTGAAATATAAGAATAGAAGGTTTCAATCGAATAATTTCGTGATTTCAACCTTCCTTCCCTCCCTCCTTCCTTCCATCCAGACCGACCGGAGTAAATTTGAAATGGGGGGGAAGAAAAAAATTAGGGTGCACATATAGAATATTAAAAAGGTTTTTTGAACTACGGCGGCGAGAGGGTCAGAGGCGAGAATAAGACATCTTCATATACAATTTTTGTTACCGCCGGGTTTTACTGAGTGAGTTTTTTTTTTTTTTTTTATCCTCGAGGGAAATGAAGTTTGTTTTGTCCTCATTCTGTTGACACCCATTGTGTGTAAAAACCCCCCTAAACAAAAAAAGAAAAGAAAAATAAGGGTATAAGTGGAGTTACACAAACAGAGACAAAAACTTTGAGAAAAAGAGAGAGAGAGAGAGAGAGAGAGAGAGAGGGGAAAAATATAGATAGATGAATAGATGGAGAAAGAGAGAAAAAAGAAAAAAAAAAGGAATAAAGAGGATCGAAATGAAATTACGACGAATGGATTATGAAATCGGTCTCCAATCGACGCTTCTCCAGGATTGGAGGCTCTGACTCCCACCTCTGTTATGCGCATGCGCAAATTATTACCAGCTTTTTTTTATATTTTCTATATAAAAGTTGTTGCGAGTGTTCAGTGGCGGCGTAAGGATTTGAAAAATTAAAAGCGAGCCATTTTTGAGGTTTTTGTTGAGAATAACGTGGGGCTCAGGGGGAACGAGAACGTACCTTTTATTATTATTATTATTATTATTTTTTGTTTTCTATCACATTTTTACAATCTTCTTCTTTTTTTTTTCTTTCTTTCTTCCTGTCCGAAGAAAACAGGGGAAAAAAAAGGAGGAAAAATTTAAAAATAAATTTAATGTAATCATCACGATGATAATGATTTTCTTTCTCTCTCTCTCTTTCTCTTTCTTTCTCTCTTTCTCAATATTAAAAATTCAATAACATAGTAGCAGTAGTAGCGTAAATTGTTTTCCCGTAACGTATAAGTGTTAGCATTTAGAAAAGGTTTCAACAAAAGGTTTTTAAATGAAAAAAAAGGAGACTGGGAAAAACACTCTGCGGTTTTAAGGCCAGTAGAGAATATTTTTTCTTTTGGAAAACCCAAAATAGTTTTCACGAAAAGGAAACCGCCGCATTTTTCTTTTTCTTTCACCTCTTTTTCTTTCCTCAAATAGGGGGGGGCGGGGCGGGGAGAAAGGCGAGAAGTTAAAAGTAAGTGTCAAACAAACTCGCGGTCAAATATTCAATTTTTATTAAAAAAAAAAAAAACATTAACTTGTGATTTTTATTAAGAAATTGATTTGTTTGTCATTTTTCAATAAAAAATAATAATAATAATAATAATAATGAAGAAGAAAAGAAAAAGAAAGAAAGAAAGAAAATTTTTCCATTTTTTTTTTTTCTTCATTCAATTTTTATCTTTTCTCGTTAGCCTTTTTTCCCTTAATTCATCTTAACCTTTTTCTCTCTCTCTTTCTCTCTCTCTCTCTCTCTCTCTCTCTCTTTCTATCTCTTATCCCATACTCCCTTAAGCAGAATTTCTCATCCTCTTTTTTTTCTCTTTTCATTTTGGTTCGTTTGTTTCATCTCATAAAGTAATTTAAGATTTTTTCTTAATGTTTTTCCGCTTTGTTTGTTCAGTTTTTTTTTTTTTTTTTTTTTTTTTTTTTTGAGTTCATTTGGGGCCCCCGTAATGAAATCAATTGACCATATAAAAATCGTCCCAAAAAAAAAGGAAAAAAGGAAAAAAGGAAGAGAGAGAGAGAGAAAAAAAATTTTTTTTCAATTATGATTTTTATTTTATTTTTTGGAAATATATATATATATATTTTTTTAATGGCTTTTTTTTTTTTTATTTATTCCCGGTAACGTAATAATCGTCGTAATTACCGATTAATTAAAAATAATAATAATAATAATAATAATAATAATAATAATAATAATAATAATAATAATAATAATATTTTAACGAATTAACGCGAGTTTTTACTGCTTTATTGCGTGCGTGCGTGCGTGCATGCGTGCGTACCTGTACTCTCAAGTGCTCTCCTCGCGTTTTTACAAACAGTTATTTCGATCCTTTCTCTAGATCGCCTTCCCCCACCGCCCCCCAGCTCTCCTCTCCTTTACAGAATGCGGATTTTATTGCCATCAATTGAATCATTATTTTATTAGATTTCCCAACATTCTTTCAGGTCTACTAAATATATCAAATAAAAATAAATTTAATTTTTTTTTTCGGTCTTAACCCCCGGGGTTACCCTTTTTTTTGCGTACATTTTATTTTATTATTATTATTATTTTTTAAATAATACCTTAATCATTTTTTACCTCATTCTTTCTCTCTCTCTTTCTCTCTCTCTCTTTCTTTCTTTCACTCTTTCACTCTTTTTTTTCTAAATTTATTTATTTAGTAAAATAAAAACTAATAGGTTAGTTTATTGATTGTATAAATTCACTTGTTTATGGATGACATTTTAATTCTTGACGTTAATGATAAATTGTAATTTCGTGTTAATTCGTTTGTTGTTTGTTGTTGTTGTTGCTCAACATCATCGTTTAAAATGTTTCGTTTTGTGTTTGTGTGTGTTTGTTTGTTTGTTGTTTTAAATATGTTTTTCTTTTTTCATTCGGCGAGTTTTACACGAATTAGTTGTTTTTATTTCCTTGTTGGATTTATCGAAAATGAATTTGTTTTAAAAAAAAGGGGGAAAGCTGGGGAGGGAGAGAGAGGAAGGAAAGAGAATCGGAAATTTTATTTCATTTTAATTTTTTTTCCTTTTCTTTTCCTTTCTTCATTTTCTAAATTCAATAAGTTATTATAAAGAGAAGGTAAGAAAACTAAAAATGATTTAAAATCTATTTCTACCTTTCTCTATTTCTCTCTTTCTCTTACTCTCTCTCTTTCTAAGTCTTTAAATTCTAAATTTTTCATTGAAAATAAAAAGCGGGGGTAATAATTTGAATAGGAAAAAAAAAGTTTTGTTGGCGGAAGTGCTAAAGAAAAAAGAAATGGAAGAAAACTAAACTATTAAGCTTACATAAGTTTTTTTTTTTTCTTCGTACTATGAATACAAGAAACTAGGTAAAATTAAATGGATGGAAAAAGTGGGTAGGGGGAGGGGTGGTGGTGTGCGCGCGAAGAAAGATTAAGATTTAAAGTTGTTGTTGTTGTTGTTGTTGCCGGCTTCTTTCGATCGAAATGTAATTTAAAAGTTTTTTAAAAAATTTTCAATGAATAAATAAGTAAGTAATGACTTTAAATATGTTTGCGGTTGTTTGATTCCATATTTTTTTTGTTTTTTCTCATTGTTTTATTCAATTTTTTTCTTTTTCCCTCCCTCCCTCCCTCCCCTCTCCCCCTCCTTTCAATCGTTTTTTTAACGAATGTTTGAATCATCACAAAAGGTGAAAAAAAAATAATAAAAAAAATAAACGTAAAATTTAATAAAAATAACGAAGGTTACAAATATATATATATTGTAAATTTCAAGGTGAAAATAATTTTTTGTTTGTTGTTGTTGTAAAAGGTGAAGATTTAAATGGTTGTTGTTTTGTCTAAAAGAGTTCAGACTGTGCAATTAGATTAATTATTACGTGGAGTAAAAACCTTGCATAAATAACACTGGAGTGAAAAAAAAAAAAATTACCGGGGAAAGAAAGAAAGAAAGAAGTAAACGGTTAATTGCGCTTGTTTTATTTATTTATTTTTGGAAAATTTTGAATAAGTAAATAATTTTCCTCTTTTTGTTTTTGTTTTTCCAGGTGTACTCAGCAGCAAAATTGCAGCATTCCAGCAAATACAAATTTGTTTGGAGATCCTTGTGCTGGAACTCTCAAGTATTTAGAAGCTCATTATCGTTGTATTCCAGGTACACAAAAGTTTTTTTTTTCTTTTTTTTCTTCTCTCTTTTGTCTCTCTCTTCCCCCCCTCCTCTCTCGATTTTTAATACCTTATTATAATAATAATAATGATAATAATTGTAAGGGTAAGCAACCTTGATATGATTTTGTCGTTGATATTCAAGACTAAAGAATTTTTTTTTTTTTTTTTCACATTAGGTGTTCTTAAAGTATTTAATTTTTTTTTTTTTTTTATATGTTGGTAGTATCATATTTCTAAAAATATATATAATAAAAGGAATTAGCCTTTTAAAATCAAGCCTCTCTCTTTCGAAAAAAAAAAAAAAAAAAATTTTTTTTCTTATAATTTTTCTTTGTGATGAGAAATATTTAAAAAGATGACTTCAATCGATAACACTTGGTTTAAAAAAAAATCCAAGAACCTCAGGTTTCTCTCTCTCTCTCTCTCTCTCTCTCTCTCTTTGTTTCCTTAACTATCACGCTACTACATAACGGGCCATGTGTAATAATAATAAATCATAAATTTAATGTGTGTCCGACGAAATTGAAGAATTTCTTTTCTTTTTTTTTTTTTAAATTTTGTTTTGTTTTTTTTTTTCTTCTTCTTCCCCCCTTCCCTCCGCCCTCCTTCCTTCCCGTAGCCGCAACCACAACGACAACAACTCGTCCTAGTCCACCGTGGTTAATGGCATCTCAACCTAATGTTTGGAGCACGGCTAAACTTCCTACTCTAAGACCTCCTTCTCATCCGCCGTACAATCGTGGATCCGTCGTACCTCCAGTTGTTGAAGTAGCCACGGAAAGAACCACGTCAACGGTTGCAGTTTCTAAAGCCGCAGTGCCCCGCGAACCACCTTCTACGAAACCTCCTCCACCGTCGGCTCCGTTGGAGCCTAGCGTGGATAATAGTTCTAGTGGTAACGGAAGCGGTGGTAACGTTGGTGCCACTCCGAACGCGACAACAACAACAACAACAACCACTCCAATAATATCATCTTCGTCTTCGCCGGTATCCTCATCGTCATCCTCTTCATCGTCGTCGTGGATGACAACTGTTAAACCGGTTAAAATTCCAGGTTGGTTTCAATATATTTAATTTTATTACCACCATATGCGTCACGGTTAAATCCGTATGAATATTTCAAAAAAAAAAAATAATAATAATAATAAAATAAAATAAAATAAAATAAATAAAAGAAATAAGTTTTATTGCATGAAATATAAAAAATGACTCAGACGAGAAGGGAAATCTTATATTTTATTATTATTATTATTATTATATTTAATTTTCATCGCAAAATTATTTATCATTTTCATGCGCAATAAACAATTTATAGCATGAAAAAAGGGAATTTCATTTGTTAGAATAATAATAATAATAATTATCATCATCATCATCATGTAAGAAATTTTTTTTTTATTGCTTTTTAGGATCGTATCCTGAGTATTCAGAATTTAATCCATCTTCAACTTCGTCGTGGGTTCCAGAAAGTGGTGGTGGTGGTGGTGGTGATACGTCACATTTTTGTCCCCCCACAATATCGAGGAATTTAGAATGGAATTGGACCCGGGTCGGAGACGTAAGTATTTTTTCCATAGAGTAAATAAACCATAATGAAAATAAATAAAGAAAGAATGAAATTCCCCATAACCATTTCCGATTTATATTCTTTGATAAAGTTTTGAATCGTTTAATTAGCACCGATCTTCTGACACGATTACATCTTTCTTTTTTTTTTTTTTTCTTTTTTTTTTATTCTTATTCTTATTATTGCGTTTGTCCGGTTTTAATAATAAATTTGTTAACTTTTTTTTTTTTTTTTTTTTTTTTTTTTATTTGTATCTCGAGAATTGATTGGCGGGGGGAAAATAAAAACTTTTTTTTAATGCAGGAGCAACATTTTTCATTCTTTTACTGGCGAGATAATGAAATGTCTTCAAATGAATTGCATTACTAAAAAAAGAAAAAGAGAGAGAGAGAGAGATGATGAAGAGAAAAAAAATGATTTTTTTTTTTAATAGGTCAACGTTCAGCCTTGCCCCGGAGGTGCAGCCGGTTTAGCCAGGTGGCGCTGCATTCATTTAACAAATTCTGCAAAATGGTTGGGGGATTCGCCCGATCTCAGCCAATGTAGATCCGTGTGGTTGACTAGTCTAGATTCTCGAATAGAAGAAAATGATTCCATAATTAATATAGCTAATGATATGTCTCAGGTGAGAAGAAATCGATTGCAATCTCTTTTGTTTTATCCGAGTCATCATATAATAATGATAACTTCTTTTCATTCGCAGGTTACAAGTAGTAAAACTCTTTACGGGGGTGACATGATGACGACGACGTCCATAGTTAAAAAGATAACGGAAAGAATATCTAAAAACATTCAAACGTTTCCGGATCCCCAACAGAGAGAAGCCATAGTAACGGAACTCTTACAATCTGTCGTTAAAACAACGTCAAATTTATTGGATTCCTCGCAAGATGCGAGCTGGAAGGATTTGAGCCACAGGGAACAGATGAGGGTGGCCACTTCTTTGCTCGTTGGCCTTGAAGAAAACGCTTTTCTATTAGCCGATACTGTAATAAGAGAAAAAACCGTCGTTCAAGCCGTTAAAAATATATGTGAGTTTTCCCGAAAATGATTAAAAAAACTTGATGATGATGATCAAAACAAAACAAAAACAGTAAAAACTTGCACAATCTTTCTTTTGTTTTGCAGTATTATCGGTGAGGGTAATGGACGTGTCAAACGTTCAAGAAACGGAAAGATTTCCCGGGTCTCAAGCATTGCAACAGCGTCCGAATTACACGGATTGGTTGGAAGTACCTAAAAATGCAATGCTCGACAACAGCGAAGGCGGATTCGTACGGTTAATATTTGTCGCTTTCGAAAGATTAAACGATTTACTTCAACCGTCCGACTCAGGTTTGGGAAATATGGGAGAAAACGGGGATTCAAAGAAAAACTCGACGAGAATAGTTAATACGAAAGTAATATCGGCTTCTTTGGGTAAAGGAAGACACATACAATTCACCGAATACGTTCGTCTCGGTATGAAACATTTACGAACGGAAAACGTCAGTAATCCTTCTTGTGTGTTTTGGGACTACACAACTAGGTAATAATAATAATAATAATAATAATAATAACCAACACTTTTTTTTTTTTACACTTCCTCTTGCAGTTTTATTTTTCTCCTTCTTTATTTTTAAAAAAAAAAAAACAATTAAAATTTTTAAATCCTTGACTCGTGAGAAAAAAAAAAAATGGCATTATTTAAAAATTTTTTTTTTTTTTTTTTTTTTTTTTTCACAAGTAATAAAATTAAAAATAGTTTTCAAATGAGTTTAGAAAAACGTTCACAACGACACGTTCAAGTTTTTTTACGATTACGTTTTCGTCATTGACTTTTACAAATCATAAATTTCAATTATTTCCCATAATGTTTATTATCATTATTCTTTTATTTCCAGTGCTTGGTCCGAAGAAGGTTGCGAAATAGAATCGACAAATGAAACTCACACAATTTGCCGATGTAATCATTTAACAAATTTTGCCGTACTCATGGACGTACATTCGACACATTTGCCACCCACGCATCAGATGGCACTCCAATTGATAACGTACATAGGATGCATTATATCAATTGTTTGTTTACTCCTGTCTGTTATCACGTTTCAATTATTCAGAAGCCTTAGAGTATGTTGTTGTTGTTGTTGTGTTTGTTGTTTGTTGTTGTTTACTTCGATTAGATTACCTTATGATTTTTTTATTTTATTTTATTTTTCAGTCTGATAGAACGACGATTCATAAAAATTTATGCATTTGTCTACTTTTGGCTGAAATATTATTTTTATTGGGAATCAATCAGACTGATAAGCCGATACTCTGCGGCGTCGTTGCCGGTCTTTTACATTTTGTATTTTTATGTGCGTTTGCGTGGATGTTTTTAGAAGGTGAGTGTCGATGGGGGGTGGGGTGGGGGGAGAATTGCGTATTTTCATTATGTGTAAAAAAAAAAGGTACGAAGAATTAACAATTCCTATTTTTTTTTTTTTCATTAAAGGATTTCAACTTTACATAATGTTAATTGAAGTTTTCGAAGTTGAAAAATCTAGGATTCGATGGTATTATATGTTCGCCTACGGGGCACCATTAATAATCGTTTGCGTTTCCTGTGTCGTCGATCCATTAAGTTACGGCACTGAACGTTACTGTTGGCTACGTGCCGATAATTTTTTCATATTCAGTTTCGTAGGTCCAGTTATTGCTGTGATACTCGTAAGTTTCCGCCATTTTTTTGTTTTTTTTTTGTTTAACTTTTATTTTAAAAAAATCACAATAATGATAATAATGATGATTTTTTTTGTTTCTTATTCAGGCAAATCTAGTCTTCTTAAGTATGGCCATTTACATGATGTGCCGACATTCTAGTTCTAGCGTTTCTTTGAAAAGCAAAGAACATTCACGTTTGGCCAGCGCAAGGTTAGTCACTATTAAATAACAACAAATTTTTCTTCCTCTTTCTATTAGTTTTATTTCATTAATTAATATCTCTCTCTCTCTCTCTCACTCTCTCTCTCTCTCTTGCATAAGTTTTAATATAATAATAAATGATTTCGTTTGTTAATGCTGGTATTTTAGTGGAAAAGAAGAAAATGTTGTGCAACGGAAATTGAAAATTCATCTGTAAGCTTTTTTTTTTTTTTTTTTAATAGTTATATACATTTTCTTTTATTTATTTATTTATTTATTAATAATATAATATTTATCATTCACGTTTTAATAATTTTTTTCACTTGATTTTAAAATTTTATTTTAGTTATTAATTGCTTTTTAACGTAAATGTTTTTTTATTTGTTTTTTTTTTTTTTGCATGTTTTTTTTTGACATGTTGTTGCGTGTTTTTGTTTTTTTTTTGTTTGTCTGTTTATTTACTATTATAAACAAGAAGAAGGAAAAGAAAAAGAAAAGTTAATGATAATGATGATGGAAAAAGGGGGGAAGGGGAGAGGAAGTAATAATAATTTTCCTTGAAACTTTTAAACGGTTTTCGTGATGTGATGATCGAAAACAAAATGTAAAAAAAAAAGTTTTTAAAAATTTTAAAAAAAAAAAAAAATATTTAATGTGTTTGTTGTTGTTGTCGTTTGTTGTCGTCCGTCGTTAAAAATAAATTTTTAAAAAAAATTTGTTTGTTTGTTTTTGTTTTTAGAACGTGGCTACGCGGAGCCATTGTACTCGTTTTTTTACTCGGTCTCACATGGACTTTTGGTCTTTTATATTTAAACGAAGAAACCGTAATAATGGCGTACGTTTTCACCGTTTTAAACAGCCTTCAGGGACTTTTCATATTTTTATTTCACTGCCTTTACAATGAAAAGGTAAGAAAGGTAAAATTCCCATTGTCGATCACGTGCACGTGCAATAAGTCTTAATTTTATTTATTTATTTTTTTTTTGTTTGTGGCTGATGTGGCAGGTGCGAAAAGAGTACAGAAAGTGGAATTCGTGGTTACCAAAATGTGTCAAATGTAAAAAATATCAACAAAATTCAAGCGGAACGATGAACAAAGAAAGAAGGTCTAGCGCTTATGGGACTTCATCTCACGGTCCCTCCGCCGGAACAAATTCTCATACTACCCATTCTTCTTCCGGAATTATGGGAGACGGAATGATGAGTCTCCCAAATGGAAACAGTAGTGTGGGTACCGAGATTTTGGGCGCATCACCTCATCGCTACCATCACCCGCACCATCACTCACCACCCACACACCATCAAGGTATTCGCCTAAAATCCCTCTCGCCTTATAGATAAATATACATATTTACATAATTAAAAAAAAAATTATATTTCCTCCTTTACTTGACGACCTTTTTTTAAATTAATTACTATTTATTATTATTATTATTACTATTTTTTTATATTAACGATAATCAATCGAAATAAATAATAATAATTTACTTTTCTTTTTTTTTTGTTGAAAAAACAAAACAAAAAAAAAAAAAAAAAAACCAAAATGGTTTTCATCAATCAACTTAATATTTTCTATGCTTTTTTATTTATTTATTTATTTACGTCGAATTTTCCTTTATCTTCTAATAATAATGATGATGATAACGATTATTTATTTATTTATTTTCTTAATTTTTCTTTTTTTATTATTATTATTAACACATTCTTAATGTTCTCTGTCGATTTTCACACACACACACACACACACACGCATTGACAGACGCACAGACGCACATTTCTTACACCATCTTTCTTTCTTTGTTTCCCTCGTGTCAAATTGCTTCTGCTATCATCATATATTGATTTTTATAAATTTTCCATTTTTAATAAATAAATGAAATCCTTAATTATATCCATATTTCATAACCCATTTTTACACGCTTAATACTAATGGCTTTTACAACTGTACAGGTATAGATTTTTTAAGATGGTTTTTGAATTAGAAAAAAAAAAAGAGAAAAAAAATGGCGAGCGGTTGCGGTGATGGTAGATGGTGAAAAATAACATTTATTTATTTATTTATTTATTTTTATAGTGTAATTAGAAAAATATGTAGTTCGGTGTAATTTAAAAAAAAAAAAAATGAGGGGGGGGGGAAATCGGGAGGAGATTAAAAAATTTTTTTATAATAAAAGTATTTTAATTTTACAGAAAATATATTTTAAAAGTCATAATAACGATCTGGGGCAACAAATTCAATGCGGGGAAGAAATTCGAAGCAATTATGGACAAGGTCCCCCACCGCAACACGGTATGACTCTATCAAGTTTACCTACCTCTTCTTTTAACATTCACGGTCATCACGATAATAACAGTTACGCGGATAGAATGAGCACATTGAGAAGCTTGCACGGAGATATAGTCGATTTGAGAAGGCAACAATATCGACACGGACTAGACAGAGTTTTAGTTTGCGAATTGGAAAGGCATCCCCACGGGAGTAGAGCGGCAACACTACAGTTGCCAAGGAGAAGGAGAGATCATCACTACGGAGATGAAGTACTCAGAAAGGTTTAAACCTTTTTCCCTTTTTTGTGTTTCTCCATCAACCTTTACAGTCGCTCGTAAATTCGTTTTTTTTTTTGTTTGGGGGGTGTGATAATGCAGGTTGATGGGGATGATCCCGTTTATGAAGAAATTCGTCAAACTGCTTCAGATGCGTCCGATGAAGAACTTCGCCGTTGCGTTGCGAGTCGACAATCTCTTCGCAGCTGCGGTGACCATAGTCCATTGATTCCGTCAGCACACGTACCCGCGGATCCATCGAGACATCATGGATCACACGTTCACGTTGTTTCGGATCCCCACGGTTTTTTATATTCTCCCCGATCTCATGCGTTATCCATCGATAGATAAGTAAAAAACATACACATCATATACATAAAAAAAAAAAATTGATTAATAATAAAAATTTTTTAGGTATATATATATATATATAATTATATAAAGACACTTGTTTAAAAGTGATTAAGTCTGGTTATATTATTATTATTATTATTATTATTATTATTATTACTATGTGATAGTCATTGTTATGATATATATATATATATATATATATATATATATTTTTTTTTAATATTAAAATGTGTACAGTAGTTGCCTGTATTCGGATTTTTTTTTTTTAAAATTCGTACTAAATTATTATTATTGTTATTATAATTAAAATTTAATTCGTATAAAATTGAATTAAATTTAAATTTTATAATCAATAATAATAATAATAATGATACTATTAATGGAAAAAAAAAAGTGTAATAGTAATAACGGTAATCAACGTCAATTAGATTTTTTTTACATTTAATTTTAATTTTTTTTTTTTTTTGTTTTAACGGAAAATGAAACGTGTCACGTTTCTGTCATGACGTCATTTCCGTAATATAAATGTCATAGAGATATATATTTTGAATTTAAAAAGAAAAAAAAGTAATATCAAACAATAAATAGTTCCTCTTTTGTTTTGATTTAATTATTTAAAAAAAAAAAACAAAAAAAAGTAGAATGTTTCCGTTTGATTGACCGTAATAATGAAGGTCACGTGATTCCGCGAAAAGTAAAACACAATGGCGGTATTTGAAATGTTATTTTAATAAAAAATGGCGGAAATGAAAATAATAGTTTGTTTTTTTTTAATTTTTAAAATTAATTTTTATTTTTTTTTTTATTTTATTATTTTTTACTTAATCATTATTATTATTATCTTTTTACTTTTTTATTTTAATTATAGATTTCGGGTAACGTTTTGGAAAAACAAAAATAATAATAATAATAATAAAAGTTAAAATGAATGTACGTAATAATGTATTTTGGCCATTTTTTTTAAAAAAGGAAAAATTTTCCATTTTATTTCGATAAAATTGAAAATTTTATATTCAAATATAAATTTTTTATTAATAATAATAAATAATAATAATAATAATAATATAGAAATCAATCAAGATTTATTAAAAAAAAAAAAAAAAAAAAAAAATTACAAATGACAAACAAAATATTTTATTAAATGTATGGATGAAGAGAAAAAAAAGGGAAAAAAAATGCTCAAAAAAAAAATAATGATGATGATGATGATAAAATGGAATGTTGTGTTGACTCTGAAATATTTTCAAAACCGATTTGTAGTTTATTTATTTATTTATTTATTCTTTGTTATTAAAAAAAAAGTTAATAAAAATGAATGACACAAATAGATACAATTGAAAGGCCTTAAAAATTTTATTATGTAAAAAAATTTTTGGTTTAAATTTGTTCGGGTACGATTTAGTAGTATTTAGAAAAAAAAAAAAATTATTTAGAAAGAGAGAAAGAGAGAGAGAGAGAGGGAGAGAGAGAAAAGGTACAAAAATATTAAATGATGATGATAATAATTATAATAATAAATAATTAAATAGATAAATAAATCATTATCGGTTTTCATTATTTTTTTTTTAAATACAGTAAAATTTATAATTAAAATAAATTTTTAATAATAATAATTAAGGAGGGGGGTAGGGGGTAGGGGGTAGAGGAAAATCAAAAAAAGAAAATTTAGTGAAATATTTTGTAATCGTATTTAAATGAATTATTATTATTATTAACATTATTGAAAAAGAAATTTTTTTTTTTTAAATTTTGTCAATCAATCAGGGGTTATTATTATTTTTTATTATATTATATTATATATTAATATAATATTTATATAATCGGTGTTTGTGACACAATCACCAGGGAAAAAAAAAGTTTTTAAAATCATTATTATCATTATTATTATTTTTTATTTATAATTTTTAAATTTTTTTTTGCTTTTAAAATTTTCTTTTTAAAAATTTATTATTATTATTTTTATTATTATTTTCTATTAGAGAAAGAAAGATGGAGGAGAAAATAGGGAAAAAGTTATTTAAAAAAAAGAAAAAAAATTATTTTGATGTGCCTTTTGTGGTATTTGTAGTCCTCAAATTAAATAATTTCATACAAAAAGAAAAAAATTTTTTTTTTTTTTTTAAAATAGAAAAGTACATAAACGTTTAATTAATCGATTTATTGATTTTTTTTTTAAAATAAATAATTGAAAATCGACTGCAGCAAAAGTGCATCTTTAAGGTTCGAAAAAAAAAAAAATTTGATTTAAAAATAATTTTTTTGAATGTCCATAATGTTAATAAAACGTTTTTTAATCAATTAAAAATGATAATACATAATTAATTTTTCAAATCGATTTAAATCAATAAAATGTTTAAAAGTTTTTATTTTGTTATAATTTTTTAGAAATTATTGTTTACGTACTACTATAAACAAATCAATTTTATTATTAAAAAAATAAATTTACGAAACGAAACGAAAAAATTAAGTTGGCATTATTTTTTTTGAATATTTTAAATTATCGTTAATTGTTAGAGTTTCTTATGGGAAATTAAATAAAATTTTAATTTTTTTTACGTTAAATGAATTTCCCATCTTAGTACAGCCAACTTGTTTTTTTTTGTTTTATTCGAATTCGTTCGTAACGGTTTTTTTTTTTTTAAACACATTCGAAACAAACAGTTTTATTTTGTTTTGTTTTTATTTAATTTACTGAAATGTTCGTCGTTAATTTCTTTTTCTCCATCTAGTCATTTTGTTAACTACAGACATTTTTGAATAAAATTCTCAAATAAGTTTCCTTCTTCTTTTTTTTTTTTTTGTAATCTTGTATTTATGTTACAAAGTGACATTTTATATATTATTAAATTTTTCAAATTTTAATATTTATAAAAACAATAATAATAATTATTATTATTATTAAAATTAACATTTGGACATTCATTAAGGGAAAATTAATGTAAAAATCATTTTTATTTATTTGAAAAACATAAAATTACAAAAAAAAAAAAAAATTAAAATTAATTTGTATACAAAATTGACAATCCATGTTTGTAATTAATTAATTAATTAATTAATTGAAATAAAGTGAAATTAGTTAAATAATAATAATAATAATAAAAATTATAAGGTAGCCATTTAAATAATAATAATAATAATAATAATAATAA